GTGTAAGATTGATACTATTTTTTTCTTACATGTTTGGTAGAATTCACCAGTGACACCATCAGAGCTTCAAGTTTTCTTGGTAGAAAGGTTTTTGGTAATGAATCCAATGTCTTTTAGAAGTATAGAGCTATTCAGTGTTTCTATTTCTTCCTGAGTCATTTTGAGTAAATTATATTCTTAAAGGGATTTGTCTATTTAATCTACACTATCAAATATATTAGCTTGAAGTTAATCATAATATTTCCTATTCTTATTTTTAATGTCTGTAGAATCTGTTGCTGTACCTTTTCTTTCATTCCTGATATTAGTAATTTGTGTTTTCTTTCACTTTTTCCCCTTGATTAGTCTTGATAGGGGATATAAATTTTGTTGTCTTTTTTAATACCAAATTTGGCTTTGGAGTTTTACTGAGGCTATGTCTTACCTTTATTATTTCTTTGTTTCTACTTACTTTAGGTTTAATTTATACTTCTTCTCTTTAGCTTCTTCAGGTAGAAACTTAACTTTTTTACTTTAAATCCTTCTAATTATGCTTTAAAGTTATAAATTTCCCTGTAAGTACTTTAACTGCATCTTATAAGTTTTGATATGTTGTGTTTTCATTACCATTCAGTTTGAAATATTTTCTTCTTTGATCCATGGGAAATTTAGCAACATGTTGCTTACCTTACATATACTTAAGGATTTTCTAGATATATTTTTGTTATGGCTTTAAAATTTAATTCACTGGTAGTGAGAGAATATACCTTAATTTCAATCTTTTGAAACCTAATGAAATTTAATTTATGGCCCAATTTATATCCTATCTTGGTGAATGTTTCATGTTCATTTGAAAAGAACTGTACTTTGCAGTTGTTCCTTACAGTGGTTTATAAATGTCAGTTCAGCCAATTTGTTTGACAGTATTCAGATCTCTATGTCTTTATTAATATTTTGTATAGTTTTTTTTTTAAACTTTTTTTTTTTAATGTTTTATTTATTTCTAGGAGAGAGACAGCGTGAGCAGGGGAGGGTCAGAGAGAGAGGGAGTCACAGACTGAAACAGGCTCCAGGCTCTGAGCTGGCAGCACAGAGCCCGACGCGGGGCTCGAACCCACAAACCGCGAGATCATGACCTGAGCGAAAGTCGGACGCTCAACCGACTAAGCCACCCAGGCGTCCCTAATATTTTGTATAGTTGTTTTAACATTAGTGATCAAGGGATGTTAAAATCTCCAATTATGATTGTGAGTTTGTCTATTTTTCCTTTTCGTTTGTCAGTTTTTGCTTCACACATTTTATTTTTAAATGTTTATTTATTTATTTAGAGAGGTGGGGAGAGAGAGGTGGGGGTGGGGAGGGGTGCACAGAGAAAGAGAGAGAGAGAATTTCAGGCAGGCTCCACACGGTCATCATGGAGCCTGACGCAGGGCTCAAACCCACGAACTGTGAGATCATGACCTGAGCCGAAATCAAGAGTCAGATACTCAACCAACTGAGTCCCCTAGGTGCCACTGCTTCATGTTTTAAAAATCCTTGTCATTAGGTACCAACATGTTAAGGATTAGCTGTCTTATAAATGAACTGCCCTGTTTATAAACATTATGAAGTGCCCCCTCTCATGATCTCTAGTAATACTCTTTGACTTGAAGTCTACTCTGTATGATATTAAGATAGCAAAGCCACTTTTCTTATGCTTGTTGTTTACATGGTATTATCTTTTTATTTTGTTTTACACTTTATCTGTGCCTTTAAGTTTAAAGTATCTCTTGTTGAAAGCTTATGGTTGAGTCTTGCTCATTTACTCAGTCTGATAATCTCTGCCTTTTACCTGGCGTATTTGGCTCATTTGCATTTAATGTAATTATTGATATAGCTGGGTATAATTTTACCATTTCATATTTGTCTCCTTTTGTCCCTTCTGAATCTTGGGGTTTTGTTTGTTTATTCTGTTGTGTTTTTCTTGCCTTCTTTTGGGCTGATCAATATTTTGATATATTCAATTGTATTTTAACTAAGCTTTGTAGCTCTACCTCTTATTATTATTTTCTAAGCAGCTAGCAAACAATACGCATCCATAACTCATCAAAGTCTATCTTGAGTTAACAATGTATCACTTAATCCTGCCACCACACATCTGACTCTTTCCACTTCTGATGATCATCCTGACATTTTCTGCCTTGAAACAGAATTCAGGACTTAACCACGTCAGTAATTATGAAATGAAAACAGACAGATACTTCAATTAAAAGACATAGATAATCAGACTGGATAAAAAAGCAAGATCCAATTATAAGCTGTCTAAAATCTCAACCTCCAGGAGAGGGTATCTTACAGAAAGGTCACAGAAACAGACCAAGGGGCATGTGGGTAAGGGCTGGGATCACAGCATGACAAAATCTGAGCTCTGTTAGAAGTATACATTGCCTTTCTGTCCCAGTTTCCAGGTATGCTGGAACATCCCATTGAGCATTCTGCCATCTAATTAGGTATTTTCCAAGAATCACTCATCAGAAAGCGAGCCGCCCGGGTCCTTCTGAGCAAGGTGAGGTGGCTACATGCTCACTTAAAACTTGTAATTTCTCCATATGGCAGATGATCCCAAGGAGAATCGTAGCCGGACCCATACACCCAACCAAGGGTACAGAGCAGATTTACCTGCTGGATCCCAGGAGCAATACGGGAAGGTGAGTGAGGAAAGGCTAGAGCCAGGTTGTTACTCCTATGAACGGTGTGACTTTGGGCGAACCACTTCAGGCTCTGAGGTACAGGGTCCTTGTCTCAGTGGGCGTGGTAAAGCCCAGGGCTGCTGTTTATGTGAAGAGTGCCCCCTGCAGGTGTTCAGGGCATACTCTGCACAGCCATGAGTGGCGGCCCTGACAAAGCCAACCCTGCAGAGGTGCTGTGAGCATTTCGTGAGGTAGACTATGAAAAACAACCACCCCAGAGCCTGACAAGTGAGACAGAGTAAATCCATTATGGTCCATCCATCCAGTGGAATACCACATAGCCATGAAAACTCTTGATTGAAAATCTCTGTTTACTGAGGCAGAAAGTTCTTCGTGCTTTATTGTGAAGGGGGAAATGTAGCCTACTGAACACCAAGGATAATTTGATCTGATTCCCATCACCACACATACGGATACATAGGCATGGAAAATGCCATGACAGGAAAACCCCAAAGTGTTGTCAGATTTGGAGTACTTCCCTTTGTTAAGATTTCCACATTTTTCTACCATGAATATGCTTTCAATTTGAAATTAGAAAAAAAATAAAACTTATTTTTAGTTGGCTCTTTTCCTTTCTGTGACTCCTCTCTGAACTTCCTCTATAAAATGGAAATAATGAAGAAAAGAGAAAAAATAATGCTGCAGATAACTTATCCCACTCAACACCTAAGGCAGACACTAGGACCTTCAGTTTATAGAGGAGGAAATGGATTCCTGGGGTTGGCAATGCTCCCGTGGAGAAGGGGATACTCTCTCTTCACCGGGCTGTCCCGAGTTCGATGACAGGAAGGAGTGTGGATGTTTGGTCAAGTGCCAGGTGCACACAGTGGGCAGTAGGATGTCATGGTCAGAGCCTGGGCTCCGGAGCCAGATGGCCTGTATTAAATCCCAGCTCTGTCTCTTCCAGCTCGTATAATCTTGACTAAGTGACTTCACCTCTCTGAGCCTCAGCTTCCTTATCTGTAAAGCAGGGGGAGCAAAAGCACCACGCTGGAGGGCTGAGCTGAGGGTCACGTAGGACAGCTCTGTGCCAGAGCAGGCACTTGGTGAATGAGAGCGCTGGTCATAAGAATGGCCTCCCGGCTAGCTCCAGGGCCCTGATTTCAGCAGGGACTGTCTCTCTCTGACATACACTATCAGGAGGAAGGTGGACCCTGAGTGGTCACAGAGCAGAGCTTTGCAACCATGTTCTTGCTCTGATGTCCACTCCACCACCCCGCCCAGCTTGGTGGGTTACAGGGGCGCTTCCCGATCTATGCACAGCACACAAAACAGGACACTGTGGACCAGCATTTCAACAGAGGCCCCGTGGCTCCCAGGAGTGCTAGGGGGTGGTTGCAATAAATGAGGGCATGCCTGGCATTGAGTGGATGGAGGCCAGAAAGGCTGAGCCCCCTGTGCTGTTCCTGACAAGCCGTTCTGCTAGGCACTCTTGCAGGTGAAAAACTTACTTAGACTTAACCGAGTTTAGAATCTAGTCACCTGTCAGGAGAACACAAACCATTTTCATACTTTTTAACACACATCGAATTTTCCTAGAATTCAAACACCACGTAAATCAAGGCCATTTTGTGCACTCCCCTCGGCAACAACAACTCTGCCTGTGGTGTGTTGGATACAAACACGCATCAGCCTATACTTAAGAACGTCACACTCAGTGATTCTACATCTGGAAGAGAGAAAGGGAGAGAAAGGTCCTCCAAGCAGAGGGGACGGTATGTGCAAAGACCCTGTGGTGGGAGGAGCAAGTGAGGCTGCAAAAGCGGATCACTGCAGCAGGGCAGCGTGAGCACGAGGGGATGATGTGGGGGGTAGGCTACAAAGGCTGGGCAACACGGGGCCTTGGGGCCACGCTAAGAGTCCACTAGTGTGAGAAGTGAAGGAGAGCTTTTCTTCTGAGAAGGACATGTTCAGCTCTGCATTTTGAAAGGAAACAACCTACACATGGAAGAGAAGGGGCACTAGTGGAGGCTGGGAGGCCAGCGGAAGGCTCCCGCAGTCATCCAGGTGAGCGGTGATGGTGGTCTGGGCTGGTGGGGCGACAGAGTCGCTGGGGGGAAGCACAGGAAGTGGAGCACCCCGGGGGAGGCGGAAGCTATACAACAGCAGGGTGCCTCGGATATGGCAACGAGGAGGTGTCCCGGTTTCTGCCCCAGGACCCTGGTCTGAGGATGGATGGCGGGACCGCCTCCTAAGGCCTGGACCCGGGAGAAGAGTGAGCTGGGGAGGCAGACCATATCTGTGCCACGACCTTCAGTCACCCCAGGCCTCCCTCGCCTTTGGCGAACTTACCTGACTCCGCCACCTCGGCGATGGGCACCCCCTGCTCGTACGCCATGAAGCCCAGGACCGAGAAGATGGCAAAGCCGGCCACGAAGCTGGTGCCACTGTTGAGGCAACAGAGCATGATGCAGTCCCTGCGGGGAAGCAGCGAGGGGGGCAGAGGTCAGGTGGGCAGAACAGGTGCGCCGCTCGAGCGTTCCGCTGAGCACACGGCCGGTCCTGGGGGGGCAGGGTGGGCACGGACAGCCCCATTCGCCCGAGAAAGCCCTTGTGGTCCAGAGAGGTTGGGTGGCTGGCTCCTGTCACCCAGCTTCTCCTGCATTTTTAGAACGCACAGTGGGTCACGGAGCAGAAGCCCGGAAGAGGGCTGGGAAGGAAGAACGGCTGGCACGGGAGAAAATGCACACCTAGAGAGAAGCTACTTGGAGGCAAAGCAGCACTCCTCCAAATGCCCAGAAGGAGACAAAACCAGGGAAATGACAGAGTGATCTCCTGGGAGCTCAAAGCAAGGAGGGCAGGGGAGGCCCCTGAGAAGTGGCTGCTTCTCAGTCAGGGGAGCGTCCACGGAACGTACAGCAGAAGCCCCCTGCAGCTCTGGGAGGAGACACCCTCCTGAAGGTCAAGGTTCATGCCGAGAGCTGCTTACTGGAGCCTCAGAGTTCAGTGCCCGTGAGGGAGTGGCCCCCTTCCAGGCTGGAGCCCGCACGGAGGGGTGACCAGAGCAGTGACGGTCTCTTGCCCTCGGGAGGGGCTTACCAGCAAAGAAGCACCAGCATAAAGCTGCAGCCAGGAGAAACCGGGGTACAAACGACGGGCTTTGTCAAGGTGAAGACAGAGCGCTCAGGTCCCGGCCTCTCCTATGCAGGCGCTGCGCCCTCGCGGGGCCGAGTCAGGGAGTCGGCCTCCCAGGACCTCAGCCACGGCCACAGGCACTAGCCACTCAGGTTAACGGCACGTGTGACGCTCCACTTTACAGGGAGGAGCTCCCAAGTGGCCCGCCCAGCCATTTGTCTGAGGTATGTCTCATCTGGGGTTCCCTGGGGTGGTGGCCGGCTGCCTCTGGTCACACCCTAACAGGCCCAGGCCCCCCGTCCCCTGGTGCTCTCCCCTGGCCACTAGCTAGTGCTGCTTACAGCAGGAGGAACTTCCTCGTGTGTGTTCCCCCAAAAGCCGCCTTCTCCGGTGAGGTCTAGTTCTGTCCCCCACTAACAGCCTGGAGCTCCTTCAGCTTTGGCGGATCTGAAGAGAGTGCCCGATATCTCCTTGGGGTTTCTGGTTCCCTCAGTTAATTGTTTAGGGTCCTTTACCAGTTGCTCATCCTGCTGTGATCTGTAATCCACTCCAGCTGGTCCAACCCCTCTTCAAATGCCTCATCCAGGACTCAGCGCCAGACTCCAGAACACAGCAGGACTCTCCCCTCCTCTTCTCCGGACAGCCTGCCTTTTGTAATGTAACCGAGGGCTACACTCATGTTGGTGACTGTGACACCCGGGTGCCTTGCAAGGACTCTGAGATTCAGGGGCACATTGGAGTAGGCATTACCCTGGGGGTCAGGAGACGTGGACTCTACTTCCCCCTGCAATATCTTTACTCTGGACCTGACCTCCCCATGGGACGAAGTGCTTAAGAACAGGGTTTCTTGGGCCTTATGACAGATTATGTAATTTTCCAGCACGTAGTCATCTCCTCTACCTTCTTCCTTGGCTCTGAGTATGCTTCCCCACTGACTGTGGGCGTAGTCACAGGATTTTCTTTGGCCACAGGATATTAGTAGATGTGATACAAACAGAGGCTGGAGATACACTTATATGATTGTACTTGTCCTTTGTGCCTTCTGTGACTTGTCATGAGAGGAACTTCCCCAGGGGAGCTTCTGTTCACATAGTCTGTACCCCGCAATGTGCACACACAAAGCCGACTTGAGCCTGCCCTGGACCCTGGGGCTGAATCCAACCAACTCACAGCCTGCAGGAGAGCTTCCTCAGTTGTCCAGGAGACTTGTGAGCAATAAAAACAAATGCTTGTCATGTTAAACCACTGAGTTCTTGGGAATGCTTGTTACACAGCATTACTGTAGCATTCACTGACTGATTACAGGTCTCTTTAAATAACCCTTCTGGCCCTGTGGATGTAGGCTGGGCTGGCAGACCTGAAGACTATCTGCAAGCCTGATTTCTCTCCTTTTTTTAGTGTTTATTTATTTTTGAGAGACAGAGAGAGAGAGACAGAGAGAGAGAGAGAGAGATGAGGAGAGGCAGAGAGAGAGGGAGACAGAAGATCCCAAGTGGGCTCCACACTGACAGCAGAGAGCCTGATGCGGGGCTCAAACCCATGAGCCAACCTGGAGATCATGACCTAAGCTAAAGTCAGATGCTCCACTGACTGAGCCACCCAGGTGCCCCAGATTTCTCTCCTCCTAAAAGGAAATGCAGCTCAGCCAAGGCAAGGGGATATTTATCCCTAAGGTTGGGGCAAAGCTGTTCCTCATGCCTGATTCCAGACCCTGCCTTATCAAGTGGGAAATAAGGTGGTCCTAGTGAGGAAAGTGCTTTCTCTGGATCCTCTCTATTCTGGAATTCTCCTGTATAGTTTCAATCTGCAATGTGCCTAGTGCTGTGCTAGGGTCTCTCGAATACTGTGTCACTGAATCTCGGGGCTCAGGGAGCAGAATCACCTACTCAAGGTCTCAGGGGCACCTTGGGATGAGGTTGGGTTGTGCGTCCTTTCATCTCAGACACTGAAACCCATGCTTTTCCCAGGGGCTACCCAAAAACAATGCCTCCTAGGAATTAAGACTTTCAGATCCTGACTTGTGGGCAATTGTCTGAGCACTCATGCGGTTGTTGAAAAACAAATATCCTTTATTGCAAAGTCCCAATCTGTCCCCAGGGGGCTCTTGAGTGAGTTCCTCATATCACGGAAGGACAGAGAATCCCTAAGCAGACCTGAGGTCCCTTCCGGCCCTGCGTCCCACCCCCTGGTCCTCAGGGCACCCACACTTTTCAAGCAGAAGGAGCTTAGCAGCCTGTGTTCTGAAGTGCAGATTTTCCCCGGCTGGTTTCCTGCATCCCCCATCCCTCTAATTCCTCTCTGCAGGGCACCTTGTAGGTGAAAAGCTTACGTAACAAGCACTGTGAAGGTGGCAGAAGTGGAGCCGGGCTTTGAAGACCTCCAGAAGCTATTAGGCTGTCAGAAGAGAGAGTACTAATTTACTCCCTCTGAGCTGGCTAGACCTGTTGGCAGAACAATTTGGAAAAGGAAATAAAATGGGCCTTCAACATCCCCTGGGGGATTTGCTTTCTTCTGCTGCCTCTTGGATGGGTGGGACTGCAGAAGAGACGTGCGGTGGCTGCGGGCTGATTCTACCTACGTGCCCCGTGGGGGAGACGGCAGCCACTGCCCCAGGACACAGCCCAAAGACAGGGCAGTCTTGGCCAAGTCCCTGTCAGCTACTGATGTTGGGGAAGAACTGGCCATCCCTTTCGGTGAGGAATAGGGGTGCAGGAACCAGAAAGGCCTGAGCTCAAAGCCATGTTCCACCACTGGCAATGTGAACATGAGCAAGTGACTTATTGTGGGGCCTCAGTTTCCTCATCTGTGTGATGGACGGCTCCTTCCTTGCCTCCTGACACATCAGGCAGCACTGTAGCAGGCTCAAGGGCTGGTGGCAAACAAGAAGACCTAGCTTGTGTCCCCATGGAAGTGACCCGTGAGCAGTGGTCACGTGATTTCCGCGGTGTCCTACACAGAGGGCGGGTCTAAGTCAGCAGTCACGCTGCTGTGGTGACAGCTGTATGCAGATGGCATCCTTCTCCAGCATCCCAAGGGGTCACGTTCAACCCCGACCCATGGACTGCTACGCTCTTCTCCCGCCCTGTGCCTTTCTCTTCCTGTCCCTGGTTACTGTTCTGCATTGTGGCTAACAGAGTGCTCTGCATCTCATCCCCAACACCCACCTCCCCATGAACACCTGGAAGGTAGGAAGGACCTTATGGACAAGCTGGCCTGGTCTTCCACCTCGCCAGCATCCTCCTGTCCGGCCAAGGGCCATCAGGAACAACAGAACTTGCTGCCTAATGGCCCGTTGGATGCCACAATGGCTCTTCCTTGCAGCATGCTGGACCTGACCACTTTCACTTCCTCGGTGCCTCAGTTTCCCCAGCTTACAAAATCTGTAGACCGAGGCTGTGCCATTCTTGTGTGTATCTCCTAAGGAACCCATGTTGGTGTCTCACACTCGGCAGACCCATAATGCACGCGGTTTTAACGAACGGGTTAATAAAGTGATCATGAAGCGAGCTTTCAGCGAGATGTGGCAGAGCCCTGGGATGGAAAACGGAAGACCTCAGGCAGAGCCCAGGCTCTACTGTGTCCAGCTGGGGGGCCACCTCCATGAGCCTCTCTTTCCCCATCTCAAAGACGGGGATAATGTGGGAGGGACTTTATCAGTGCCGCGAATGCTTTCAAAGGCATAATCTCCCTTGAGCCACCCGGCAACCAAATACCAGTCCCCTGAACACCCACCTACCATGACCAGGAACTGCATTCAGGGGTACAGAGAGCTCAGCAAACAGACCACTGGCTAGAATCCAGGTGACTTGGGCGGGTTGCTGGCCCTCGGTGGGTCTCAGCCTCACAGTCGGAATCAGGCTGCAGGCACGAGAAGCCAGGCAGCCAGGGTCAGACAGCCTCCGGCTCACCTCCCAGCCTGGGCCCTTCCCTTCCCAGCGCCGGGTGTGGGCTCAGACAGGGGGCCGGGGGGGGGGGTAGGGTTGGGGGAGGCTGAGGGGTAAGACAGGGCACTAGTCCCTCCAGATGGGGCAGGAGAGGAGCCTATAATCAAGTGAGAAGGGGCAAGAAGCGGGTTTCTGAACAGAAGGCAGAAGATCAGAGCCCGCACTGTCAGAAGAGCTGGGCTCAAGTCCCAGCGTTGCCACTTTCTAGCGATGTGACCCTGGGCACTTACCTGCCCTGGGATAAATCTTTGCCATATAGGGTGGGATGGAGGCCTGAGTAAGATTCCTGGGGCGTGGGGCGCCTGGGTGGCTTAGTCGGTTAAGCGTCCGACTTTCGCTTAGGTCATGATCTCGCGGTTCGTGGGTTCGAGCCCCGCGTCGGGCTCTGTGCTGACTGCCAGCTCAGAGCCTGGAGCCTATTTCAGAGTCTGTGTCTCCCTCTCTCTCTGACCCTCCCCTGCTCATGCTGTCTCTCTCTCTCTCTCCTAGAAATAAATAAAAATTATTAAAAAAAAAAAAAAAAGATTCCCGGGGTGGACGGATTCACGTTCAGCCTGCAACGCACTCTGATCACATTCAGTATTTTCCTAGCTCCTCAAGCGGCCCCCTCTGACCCTGGGGCAGGGAGAGGCTGAGAAACAGACCGTTGGTCTCCTCCTGGCCCTGCAAGGTGGGGGGACGGAAGCGAAGGGGCCTGGCAGTGAGGAGCTCTTGGGGTTTGGTGGAGAGCGGGTGGGGCCAGAAATGCTCACCTGTAGCAGTTGTTGTTATAATTGTTATAACTTCCCAGAGCAGTCAGGCAGCCCAGGCAGATGGCATAGGAGAAAAAGATCTGTGTCCCAGCATCTACCCAGACCTGCAGGAAGGCACAAAGACGTCAGCATCAAGAGAAGTCAGATGAGTGGCCGCCCTTTTCTCTGAAACCCCCCACCCACACCTTACCATCCAGGAAGTCTAGGCGAGGAAATAATCAAACCTCCTAAACTTCTCAGGAACGTGTTTTAGGAGTTCTGTTATCAGGGACTGCTTCATTAAATATAAATGTCCTTAATTAATTCCAGAATCTTCCAGAGGCTGTGAGTAACAGTTCACTGAACAGCAAGAATTTGGATGTTCAGGTCCCTGCTTCAGCTTGTGTGACCTTGGAAAAGCTACTTAGCCTCTCTGAGGCTTAGTCTCCTCATCCGCAAAGTGGGGAATGAACTTCCCTCTTAGGATTGTCAAGAGGATTTGTGTAATATGGAATGGAAGCTCCTGGGACCCGGCTCATAAGGCAAGTCATATTTAAGCCAAATTGAGTGACTTCTTATCTTTGTGATTAAGATTACCACGAGGAAGCTGTCATAGGACTCTGCCCGTGGGAAAATATTTGCATATTTGCATTGCATAGCATGAGCATAAGAAGGGACAGGGAAGGGGGAGGAGAAGGCGGAGGCCTGCCTGTATCTTTCACCTTTCAAAACAGGTGCATTTTAGGCTTCCTATGTGGTACTGAATGGAACCTACTTTCTTAGTTTCCAGGTTCCTCTCTGACAAAAACTGCTGTTGACAGCGTGGCACGCACACCAGAAGTAACACGGTTCCCTAGGCTCTCCCTGAGCCCCGCTCCAAGGAAAATCCATAGCCAAAAGCCAGATGCAGCTGATGACAGCGATGCTGGAGAGTTAGGTGCCATCCAGAGAACAAGGCTTTGCACTAATACAAGTACTAGCTACGCTTACTGAGCACTTGCTATGTGCCGGGAACTGGGCTGAGCCCTTTAAGCGTTAGGTCACTTGAATATTCACAATAACCCTACGTGGTAAGTGCTATTTTTTATAGCTACGGAAAGTGAGGAACAGAGAGGTTGAGTAATCTACTCAAGCCCACACAGCTGGGAATGGCAGAGGTAAGTCTATAGAAACCCACCTCTAGACATACATGCTTAACCAGCCCCAGAATTTGAGATGTCCTCTGAGATAATCTCCCACTCAACACAAGACTCTCTCCTGAGTACTCCTGACTATTAGAATAGTCTCTGTTTGATTACTGCTGGTGACAGGAAACTCACTATATGCTGATGTGGCCCTTTCTTCCTTAGAGAGTTCTGACCATTAGGACATTTCTCAGAAGAAATTCTCCTTCCTGGGGGTTCCTAGTTGGAACCATCCAGATCACGCTCCCTTTTCTATGCAGTAGCACTTGAGAGGTTTGGAGAAAGCACCAGTTTCCCTTGGATCCTAGAACTCTTCCTTCTCCAGGCAAAATCTCTCTTATTTCCTCTCTTGGGGACTTGATTGCAACAGTACAGGTCACTCTACCCCGGATTTGCTTGAGTTTGTGAATCATTCAGCAAATACTTACTAAAACTGAAGATCATAATGCTGCTTCTCAACCTAAGAAATGAAAACATTTTTTTTCCCTCCCTGGAGTATCCTGGAGTTAAAGGAGCATCTCAAGGAGAGCTCTTTTCATGAAGTGTGTGTGGTGTGTATTTGTGTGTGTGTGTGTGTGTGTGTGTGTGTGTGCGTGTGTGTGTGTGTAGAGCAGGGGTGCCAGTATAACAGAGAGGACTGAGACATGGGGAAGAGGAAATGCAAAGAGGGACTATCACAAGAGCTCTTTCAAGAAATTTTGCCACCAAGAGGAGATGGGAGAGAGGTAGTGGAAGGGGAATTTAGGGAGAATTTTCTTAGTGGTAGAAACTGGAGGGTGCTTCAGTGTTGACAGGGAAGGGCCAGTGCAGACAAAAGTGTTAGAGATTTAGGAGAGAAACGGATGCATTTTTAAGACCTCCCGCTCTGCCTCAGTTTCCCTATTTGCTACTTCAGTGGATTTCCTTTACCCAAATCCAGGGTAGAGACCCTTCCAGGTCATCAAATCCCCAAGAAGGAAAGACAGGTATTTTGCCTGAGAAGGGAGAGTTCTAGGGCCCTGGGGCGCTTGGTGCTTTCTGTGAATCTCTAAGACGGGTAGTAAGTCGCCGGGAGAAGTGAAAGGCAGTACAGCTGCTGCCCCAGGACACTGGGGACCAGCTCACAAGACCTACCCAGCGGGACTCCGGGCGCTCTATCAAGCACTGCTCCTCCAGTCCCTCACCCCTGCTTGTAAGGCCTCTGCAAACTATTATCTCTCCACGCACCCCTTCACTGTCCTCTGGCTGCGTGAGACAAACTCGGGGGAAATCTAGCTGGTCCATCACGACTGAGCTCCACGGCAACTGGTTCCGCTCCACCCGAAACATAAAACACCAGCGAGCTTTCTATCCACACAGCCCAGAGATGTGACCCTCAAAAAATGACTTTCGGGGCGACTGGGTGGCTTAGTCGGTTAAGCGTCCGACTTTCGCTTGGGTCATGACCTCGCGGTTCGTGGGTTCGAGCCCCGCGTCGGGCTCTGTGCTGACAGCCAGCTCAGAGCCTGGAGCCTGTTTCGGAGTCTGTGATTCCCTCTCTCTCTGACTCTCCCCTGCTCACGCTGTCTCTCTCTCTCTCTCTCTCTCCTGGAAATAAAACATTAAAAAAATTAAAAAAAAAAATGACTTTCACTTATGGGGAATTTTCCGTGCAGTCTGTGCATTGAGCACATCAGCGCTAAAACAGGTATCTGCTGTTTTTGCCCACCCAGCATCCATCTCCCCCTTTCAGGTAACAGCTCCCCAATTTTCCTTTAGGAAACCACCTCTTCTCCACTGGGAGGGAGCCTCAGAGATGGTCACATGACCCAGGCCTGGCCAACCAAAACATTTCTCTTGGCCACAGTGATTGGTTCAGAGATGAGCATATGATGCAAGGCAAGCCAATGAAACTCAATCCTGGGACTTTTACCGAAACTACCACAAATGGGATACAATGTTTTCTTCCGGAGATGCTAAGCTTGTAATTCCTGGGGGTCATCACTGACCCTGAGGGAATAGCCTGCCTGAGAATAAAGCCAACGCAGAGGAAAGCGGCGTCTAGAGCAAAGAAAGACTCATATTGGTGATATGACTTGAGTGCCTGGATCCACTTTTACCTGAAATGAGACCTACCCTAGAACACGGAAATTTTAGAGGCCTATAAATTCTTTTTCTTTTTTAAAAAATGTTTACTTATTTATTTTTGAAAGACAGAGAGAGAGAGCGAGTGAGAGAGAGCGAGCGAGCGAGCACACAAGCAGGGGAGGAGCAGAGAGAGAGAGGGAGACACAGAATCTGCAGCTGGCTCCGAGCTGTCAGCACAGAGCCTGACACAGGGCTGGAGCCCACGAATAGCTAGATCCTGACCAGAGCCCAAGTCAGATGCTCAACCAACATCTTTGAGCTCCCCAGCTGCCCCAAATTCCTTTCTTTCTTAAGTCAACTTGAATTGGATTGCTGTCACTTCAAACTCAAAAAATTCTGACTAGTAGCAACATTAAGTGCTTAGAAAAGCCCAGGGGCTGTAAGCCCTATTCCTTCAATCAATCCTGAATTAACTGATGAACCAGCACTTACGGAGAACCTTCTGTATGCAGAGCCCTGTGCCAGAACCTGAAAGAAGTACTGTACACTTACAGATAGCACTTCATCTCTGTCTGCAGGTGAGATAAGCTGAAACATTAAGGGGACAAGGTAGCCAGCACCTAGGCGTGGTTGATGGTGGGGGTGGGGAAGGATAATTAACATGTGCTAGGGCAATCAGAGGAGTGATCAAAGACAGGAAATGATGAGGGAGGACATTTTGGATCTGGAGGTTCATGTGAGAGGGCGATATTTTCTCAAATAATTTTTCCTTCTTGTTCCCCTCCCTCCAAGGTAAAAAGCCGGTCATTGTTATGCTGGTGGTTACCATCAAATGAAATACCTTTATACAATTCCCTTCGTCCCCCCTCCTTGTAACACCGTGGGCTGGTTGCCAAGTATAAGGAATACGGAAATTAGCCAGGAGTCTCAGTTTCTTTTCCTTCCCTATCCTCTAGCATCTAAGTAGAAGAAATATCCGTTGGTTTCCAGCTGATATGTGAAAGTAATATGTGAACTTATCCTATTTTTCATATACACACTTCACAGTCCCCCAACTTTAAATACTTGTTCTGTATCTGCATGATCAGAATGTACAACTATTACAAATTATGTTATCTCCGTGACAGACACCATTTAGTGTGAGTTCTACAGGTGAATCTCAATTTAATGTTCACTCCAGCCCTTACGTTAATACCTCTCCTGTTAGTTTGGTTGCTTGTTCTCTAGTAAGTCCCTCAGGCAAGGCTCATGAAAATAAGATTTCCTGGCTTCTTGCATGTTCATAATAGTTGGCTGACGGCTTTCATACTTGAACGTCAGTGTGGCTGCAGAGAATATCCTTGGGTCTCTCTCTCTCTTTTCCGGAGTATCTTAAATACATTGCTTAGTTGTCCCCTGGCACAGAGTGATATGTAGAAAAGCCTGATTCCATTCTTACTCACTTACTCTTTTTGTTTGAATGACCGACATTCTGGTTTTTTCTTTTCTCTTTTAACGGTCATTTTTATTAGAATAGGTCTTAATGTGGACTAGTCTGGGTTGATTTTCCTAGGCATTTTGGTGTACTTCTTCAAGATAAAATTCAAGTCTTCTTATTTCAGGAAAAAAAAACCCTAAATTATTGTTTTTAGGATTTATTTTCTTCCACTGCTTTGGGTTTCTTCTTGGAAAGAAGAAATGTATGTTGGATCTTTCTTATATCACTTTTTCCTTTATTCTTTAATCAATCCCTTCATTTCTGACTTTATTTTTTTTAATTTTTTTATTTTTTTAAATATTATTTATTTATTTCTAGGACAGAGAGAGAGACAGCGTGAGCAGGGGAGGGTCAGAGAGAGAGGGAGTCACAGACTGAAACAGGCTCCAGGCTCCGAGCTGGCAGCCAGCACAGAGCC